ACTTACAGTCATGGATGCATACATCTTTTACATATGACCCCCAAAGCAAACACCACTGCCACCAAAGCCCTGCCTGCCTGTAGCGCTCATCTGGAGCATGGCAGCCATTTTGGATGCATACTCTACAGCCCCTCAACCCAATGCATTGGTCACCAAAGAGAGAAGTGAGTCTACCCACAAACAGGGTTTCCATTAAAAGCACTGAAACTCTTGATTCCAGAAACTACCATGTTACCACAGAACATAAAGTAGATACCAGAGTAGATATAGTAGATAACAGAGTAGATATAGTAGATAACACAGTAGATATAGTAGATAACAGAGTAGATATAGTAGATAACACAGTAGATATAGTAGATAACACAGTAGATATAGTAGATAACACAGTAGATAGTAGATAAGTAGATATAGTAGATAACACAGTAGATATAGTAGATAACACAGTAGATATAGTAGATAACACAGTAGATATAGTAGATAACACAGTAGATATAGTAGATAACACAGTAGATATAGTAGATAACACAGTAGATATAGTAGATAACAGAGTAGATATAGTAGATAACACAGTAGATATAGTAGATAACAGAGTAGATATAGTAGATAACACAGTAGATATAGTAGATAACACAGTAGATATAGTAGATAACAGAGTAGATATAGTAGATAACACAGTATATATAGTAGAAACAGAGTAGATATAGTAGAGAACAGAGTAGATATAGTAGATAACAGAGTAGATATAGTAGATAACACAGTAGATATAGTAGATAACAGAGTAGATATAGTAGATAACACAGTAGATATAGTAGATAACACAGTAGATATAGTAGATAACAGAGTAGATATAGTAGATAACACAGTATATATAGTAGAAACAGAGTAGATATAGTAGAGAACAGAGTAGATATAGTAGATAACAGAGTAGATATAGTAGATAACACAGTATATATAGTAGAAACAGAGTAGATATAGTAGATAACACAGTATATATTTACATTTTTACATTTACATTTTAGTCATTTAGCAGACGCTCTTATCCAGAGCGACTTACAGTTAGTGAGTGCATACATAATTTTTTTTTCATACTGGCCCCCCATGGGAATCGAACCCACAACCCTGGCATTGCAAACGCCATCCCTGCCGGCCAAACTCTCCCCTACCTTGGACGACGCTGGGCCAATTGTTAGCCGCCCCATGTCTCCCGGTCGCGGCCGGCTACGACAGAGCCTGGATATATAGTAGATAACACAGTAGATATAGTACATAACACAGTAGATATAGTAGATAACAGAGTAGATATAGTAGATAACACAGTATATATAGTAGATAACACAGTAGATATAGTAGATAACACAGTATATATAGTAGATAACACAGTATATATAGTAGATAACACAGTAGATATAGTAGATAACACAGTATATATAGTAGATAACACAGTAGATATAGTACATAACACAGTAGATATAGTAGATAACAGAGTAGATATAGTAGATAACACAGTATATATAGTAGATAACACAGTAGATATAGTAGATAACACAGTATATATAGTAGATAACACAGTAGATATAGTAGATAACACAGTAGATATAGTAGATAACACAGTAGATATAGTAGATAACACAGTAGATATAGTAGATAACACAGTAGATATAGTAGATAACACAGTATATATAGTAGATAACACAGTAGATATAGTAGATAACACAGTAGATATAGTAGATAACACAGTATATATAGTAGATAACACAGTAGATATAGTAGATAACACAGTAGATATAGTAGATAACAGAGTAGATATAGTAGATAACACAGTAGATATATGGTCCTCTGTAGCTCAGCTGGTAGAGCACGGCGCTTGTAACGCCAAGGTAGTGGGTTCGATCCCCGGGACCACCCATATACAAGAATGTATGCACGCATGACTGTAAGTCGCTTTGGATAAAAGCGTCAGCTAAATGGCATGTTATTATTATTATTATATAGTAGATAAGACATTCTCCCAGTGGGATGTGATGTTTATTTTTTGTAAGGACCTGAACTCATGTTTCTCTGGAAATTAAACAGCTGTGTCCTGTCATCAGTTAAATTATAGGGGGGTGATTAATATCCAACACCATCTGTAAACAGGATCAACCCATCACTGACGGGAAACAGCCAGTGTTGCTGTCATTCTCCAGAATGGACACAAACGTCACAATAACTTCCAGTGTTAATAACAACAACTATCTGGCATTTCAACCTGGCAAAGAGGTGTAAGCTATGATAAGCCTACACGGCACAGAGAAAGGTTAACGCTATCAACGATTATCAACATACGAAATCATCACACTTTGATTTATTTTTCATTCACAGTTATCTCTAACCCCATGACTTCTGTTTCTGTTTATAAATTATACATTTGGATTTTTATTTTTATCAGAAGTTATCGATATTATGAAGCACATTATTAACACAGAAGGTTTATTCTACGCCATGAAACATTAATAGAAATCCATTCTCTTCCAAGACATTGCTACAGTTGGTCAGTAGAGAGAATGGAATAATCAAAGATAAACAATCCATTGTTTAATTAGTAGAATTGCAAAAGATACAGATGCCATATCTTAATTTGAGCCACTTTCACACAGGAGGAAAAATAATCATGCAGCAACAGGAAATGTGCATTCTAATGTGGATTATAATTAATGGACAGTTTTTGTCGGATTTGATAAATTTTTTGTTAGGGCAAATTGAAGTGGAAATTACAGACTTTAGAAGCCTTTTTAAACCTCAAATAGACTACAAGTTTGCATTTCCTGCCGTGCAGGAACATTCCTGCAACAACAGGATGATCACATGAAGATAGAGTTTTATATAATGTTGTTGAAGGTCATTGGATGCCATAGTGATTTTTTGTGGAACACATTGGTTATACCAGAACTAACCCAGTTGATAGACCTGTGAAGCCACAAACAGCGAACAGTAAATCAAGTGTAAAATGTCAAACTGTTGTGTACGTCCAAGATATTTGTAATAACACATAATTTCCTGGTTGAAACAGTAAAATAAACAGACTCACAATGGGACTTCATTTAACCAATTGTGGTTAGAATAATCCCTAATGAGCATGCAGTGAAAGTGTTACATTCATTTTCCAGACTATGTATGAGCAGTAGAGTATCTCAGACCTCCTGCATGTTAGGGGAACATTACTCATGTGTACCTCTCCCTCAACATGATCAAGACAAAGGAGATGACTGTGGACTATAGGAAAAAAAAAGAGGACTGAGCAGGTTGAGAACAGGTTGAGAGCTTCAAGTTCCTTGGTGTGCACATCATCAACAAACTATCATGGTCCAAACACACCAAGACAGTCGTGAAGAGGGCACGACGACGCCTATTCCCCCTCAAAATACTTTTTGAGGTCCTCAGATCCTCAAAAAGTTATACAGCTGCACCATCGAGAGCATCCTGACTGGTTGCATCACCGCCTGGTATGGCAACTGCTCGGCCTCCGACCGCAAGGCACTACAGAGGGTAGTGCGTACGGCCCAGTACATCACTGGGGCCAAGCTTCCTGCCATCCAGGACCTCAACCAGGCGGTGTCAGAGGAAGGCCCTCAAAATTGTCAGACTCCAGCCACCCTAGTCATAGACTGTTCTCTCTGCTACCGCACGGCAAGCGGTACCGGAACGCCAAGTCTAGGTCCAAAAGTCTTCTTAACAGCTTCTACCCCCAAGCCATAAGACTCCTGAACAGCTAATCATTGCTACCTGGACTATTTGCACTGCCCCCCCACCTCCCTCTTTTACGCTGCTGCTACTCTGTTTATTATCTATGCATAGTCACTTTAACTCTACCCACATGTACATATTACCTCAATTACCTCGACTAACCGGTGCCCCTGCACATTGACTCTGCACTGGTACCCCCCTGTATATAGCCTCCCTACTGTTATTTTATTTTACTGCTGCTCTTTAGTTATTTGCTTAATTTTTTTTACTTAAATTAGTTTTTTTGTTTTTTGTTTTTTTATGCATTGTTGGTTAAGGGCTTGTAAGTAAGCATTTCACTGTAATGTCTACACCTGTTGTATTCGGCGCATGTGGCAAACACAATTTGATTTGATTTTAACCACTATCCTCTGCCAGGATAAATATTTGACCTATTAGGTACAGTAAATTGACTTCAGCATACCACGCTAATGGAATCAACTCAAAACCATTTGTTTCTAATTTTGCCTGGGAGCCTCTTTGCATGCAGACCTGTAGAATAATCATTTATACAGTACAGCTGAGATTTCAACACTTTTACAGTCCCTTGTTGACCACTCCCATTCCATCGCTGCCAAGCAGAAGGTTAAATATAAATATCTGTTCATTCAGCCCTGTTTTCATACTAGGTCTCTTCCATCGGGACTGCAAAGGGAAGGATACAACTGCTTGGGCTGTTCTGGTTCTGGACAAAGCAACATTGTTTCACTCAGGGCTGGAAGCAGAAGTGCCCTTCAACATTTGAAGCGCATACCGTAGGTAGGTCAGTTTCTTTGTTACAAAGGTGTGCATTGGCTACAGCCCTCTGATTTGCATGCTTTTTAAGGTCTGCCTCATTGCAGCATATCACAATATTACATAAATAGGGTTATTAAATCTAACGGTTTGAAAGAGGCAATCTGTAAAACATGAATCCTAGATTCACCTGGGGAGGAGGAGGAGAAGGAGGAAGGTTGTTTTGCAATGTGGAGAGAATGGGGGTGGGGGGAATGTGTAATGTATCTGGATGCCAGATATGCTGTGCAGTATGTTTTTCTTTTCAGCATAGGAAGCACAGGAGGAAACAGAGGTGGCACTCTATAAGATCAGTAGAGGGTTTACTCAAGAGCTTTTATTAGAGAAGCATCAGACATAGCTTAACAATCTCAAGGGTCGAACAGGAAGAATAGGGTTGGTGACTATAAGAACACGTTCTGCACTGGCTGTCTATCTTCTCTCCCAGTTGTGTCTCAGTAGACATGAGGTGCTTCTGTCTGCTGCTGCTCGCTCTGGGCGTGTGTGAAGCTGCCCGTGGACGGGAGTGGGCTCACCATGGGGCCTCAATGTTCGCCGACCTGACCCCCCGCGAGATGTGCGACTTCCGGGACTACCTGCAAGGCAAGCCAGAGCTGGGTCTGACAGCTGCCCGGGGCAAGTCCCTGAAAAAGAACAGCATTCTGCTGATGGAGCTCCACCTGCCCCGCAAGCACGAGGCCCTGATGGCCCTGGACCGGGGCCAGGACAAGCCCACGCGCCAGGCCAGGGTGGTGGTGCAGTTCGGGACCCAGGCCCAACCCAACATCACAGAGATCATCGTGAGTCCACTTCCCTTCCCTACTTCGTACAGGAGGAAGACCTTCAAGGGAGACAGACCCATTCGGTTTGAGTCAAGACCCATCACAGTGGCTGAGTACTCGCACATCATCGACATTTTGCAGAAGATCACCGCCAAGGTCCACAAGGTCCTGTTTGAGACCACGGGGGGATTTTCCTTCCACAACTGCACCGACCGGTGCCTGACGTTCTCTGACATTGCACCCCGTGGTTTGGAGTCGGGTGAGAGGAGGACCTGGATTATGCTGCAGAAGTTCGTGGAGGGCTACTTCATCCATCCTGTGGGCTTTGAGGTCCTGGTGAACCATAAAGAACTGGACCCTGAGTGCTGGACAAGGTGTGGTACAATGGCCAGTACTTTGACAACGTGGAGGAAATTGCGGAGTAATACGAGAAAGGAACGCTGGAGAAAGTCAAGCTTCCTGACCATGACGAAGAGGACTTGTTCTCCACTTACATTCCCCGCGGGCACAGCAACACCCGCACCGACATCCACGGTCCCAAACTTTTGGAGCCCCAAGGCCCTCGCTACCACGTGGATGGGAACTTTGTGGAATATGCTGGCTGGTCCTTCGCCTTCCGTGTCCGCTCCTCCGCCGGCCTCCAGATCTTCGACCTGCGCTTCAACGGAGAGCGCATCGCCTACGAGGTCAGTCTCCAGGAGGCCATTGCCTTCTATTCGGGCGACACCCCGCTGCCATGCAGACCAAATACATTGACGCCGGCTGAACCATGGGCACCGTGGACTACGAGCTGGCGCCTGACATCGACTGCCCCGAAATCGCCACCTTTCTAGACCTGCACCATTACTACGACACGGACAAGCCTGTACGTGACAAGAACGCCCTGTGTGTGTTTGAGATTACCACGGGGATGCCTCTGAGGAGGCACTTCAACAGTAACTTCCAGGGGTTGCTACAACTTCTTCGGGGGTCTGGAGAACCATGTGCTGGTGCTTCGTACCACCTCCACTGTCTATAACTACGACTACATCTGGGACTTCCTCTTCTATCAGAACGGAGTGATGGAGTCCAGGGTCAGTGCCACCGGTTACATCCACGCCACCGTCTTCACGCCTAACGGACTGTACTACGGCTCCAAGGTGTATAACTACGTACTGGGCAACCTGCACACGCATGTCATCCACTACAAGGTTGACCTTGATATTGCTGATGAGTTCTGTTCTATTAATCTGGTAGCGTGGTTATGTCATTCAGGATTCTGGAACCACATTTAGTAAATGCTGTGATTGGTTGCTGATTATCTGTAAAGCTACAAAGTTCTGTATATATGTACATACAGCTGTATATAATAACAAATGGGTTAGTATGCTTTCAAAATAGAAAAATAAATAAAATACCAAAGCAATAAGAATGTTCACATGTACAGGCTTGTGTTCTAGCCCCTGTTTGATCTGACACACTTCTAGAGAAGTATATGAGATTCTTAAAGGTATTTTAGACACTTGGTCCAACATTGCATTATGAGTGTTGCTCCTAGATGGTTTATGATTGTTGCTCCCAGCCAAATACAATAACATGAGATTATGTCAGCCATTGTGGTGAATCATTGACAAGAAACACAAAATACAACTGATAAATCACATGTGAAATGATATGCCTAGTCTGTGAGTTGCAGAACATTAGTGCCTAGGTCCACTGCATTTGAACTCAACAAAGGGCAATAAAGGGAGGTTTTAAATGCATTAACAATTTAATCTAAATTCTTCTTTCGAAATTGCTGAATTTAAATGGAATTAACCCAACCCTTCTTGACCCCAACCCTGCTTGACACCGTTAATATGATTGCTTTTGTCAAACGCTCCAGGTCGGGAGAACAGCCTTGAGTCGATGAACCTCAAGTACGTGAACTTCACCAACCCCGTGGAGCCATAAACATTTCGTCGTCCAATCCAAGCTCGTCAAGACGCAGCACCAGACGGAACGCAGCGCTGCCTTCCGCTTCGGCAAGAAGTTCCCCCGCTACATGCACTTCTATAACAAGTGGGGCCACCAGAAAGGTTACCACGCCAACAGTGTGCTGCCCCGTGGCTGGAGAGAGGAGAACGGCATCAGCTGGTCCAGGTAACAACAACAACAACACACAGCTAGTTAAAGTAATTGTTCACCCTAAAATCATTGTTTATCGGATGTTTTCATACCTCAATCAACTTCAGTTCATCCCGCGCCATCTGTTGAGTAGCTCCCACTGTAGACAGAGGAAATCTGCAGGCCACAACCAAAAAATGAAAAGGGAAAGATTGGCACCATCTAATCATATAGTGGGGTAGTATGGGTACTATCCCTTTAAAGCTGTGATAGGCGAAACGGCGCCACTGGCCGCTCCAGGCGCATTTGTTATTGTTTTTTGTTTGGAGGAAATAAGCATCCAGCAACGTGGTAAAAAATCATCGTAGTACATACTCTGCTGTTCTATCGCGCATGCAATGATCTGCAATGATTTCCAAAGAAAGAAATGGAGGGTTTCAGATTATTATTATAACAACTGACATCTACTGTCAGACAGTTCCGATTCAGTCTGAAGTGCACTACATATGATCTGTACTGGTGAAAGAGGCTTTATCTTCCTCCGTAGATACCCGTTGGCTGTGACCAGACACAAGGACAGTGAGCCCACCAGCAGTAGTATCTACAATCAGAACGACCCCTGGGAGCCTGTGGTCTCCTTCGAGGACTACATCCGCAACAATGAAAACATCACCAACCAGGTGAGACCTGTTGCTACCAATAACTCAACTCACTCTCAGACTCAAAATTGCAGCTTCTCTACCCTGGATGGCATTAATGTGTATAATTCACAGGTTACGGGACTGTAATTGTATAATAACTCAATAATAAATTCAATCAATCAATTAATCAATCAGCCTGTCTCCTGTGTAGGACCTGGTTGCCTGGGTAACGGTGGGCTTCCTGCACGTGCCCCACTCAGAGGACATCCCCAATACGGCGACGCCCGGCAATGCCGTGGGCTTCTTCCCGCGTCCCTTCAACTTTCTTCGACGAGGACCCCTCTCTGGCATCCCGCAGTACCGTCATCGTCCGGCAAGACAAAGAGGGCAAACCCAAGATGGACCCCAGAGGTCGTAGGTCACTGTGTGACTGACAGGCCTTTCTTCTACGCAGGAGCCTGAGGGACTGGCGTGACTGACAGGAAAGACACAAAATGGAGGTTCCATCCTTGGTTCTGAGTGGTGCCAAATTCATGTGCACTGACACTTTTAAATTGAAAATCATGTACATTTCAAAAGAATGTATTCTAAATGCAAAATAATGTATTCTGACACAGGCATTAACAAAAGTCATATTATGTTGATATCATACCTGTTTAGATGTGAAAGAATAACAATGTTGTTTTTTTTATGAGTATGCAAATGTATTGCAACAATTTACCATTCCTATCCATAGGCACATTTCAATAGAGACCCTCTTAAATAATAACTCACAAACACGTTTTGTCATTGGACATATAGTCCCGTGTAGCTCAGTTGGTAGAGCATGGCGCTTGCAACGCCAGGGTTGTGGGTTCGTTTCCCACGGGGGGCCAGTATGAAAATGTATGCACTCACTAACTGTAAGTCGCTCTGGATAAGAGTGTCTGCTAAATGACTAAAATGTAAAAATGTACAGTGCCTTCGGAAAGTATTCAGACCCTTGACTTTTTCCACAATTAGTTACGTTACAGCCATATTCTAAAATTGATTAAATTGTTTTGTTTTTTCTCATCAATCTACACACAATACCCCATGATGACAAAGCAACAATTGGTTTTTAGAAACTTTAGCAAATGTATAAAAAATAAGAAAACGGAAATATCATATTTACATTAGTATTCAGACCCTTTCCTCAGTACTTTGTTGAAGCACCTTTGGCAGCGATTACAGACATCAAGTCTTCTTGGGTATGACGCTACAAGCTTGGCACACCTGTATTTGGGGAGTTTCTCCCATTCTTCTCTGCAGATCCTCTCAAGCTCTGTCCAGTTGAATGGGGAGCGTTGCTGCACAGCTATTTTCAGGTCTCTCCAGAGATGTTCGATTGGGTTCAAGTCCGGGCTCTGGCTGGGTACCACTCAAGGACATTCAGAGACTTGTCCCAAAGCCAGTCCTGCGTTGTCTTGGCTGTGTGCTTAGGGTCGTTGTCCTGTTGGAAGGTGAACCTTCGCCCCAGTCTGAGGTCCGGAGCGCTCTGGAGCAGGTTTTCATCAAGGATCTCTCTGTACTTTCCTCTGTTCATCTTTGCCTTTTACAGACAATTCCTTCGACCTCATGGCTTGGTTTTTGCTCTGACATGCACTGTCAACTGTGGGACCTTATATAGACAGGTGTGTGCCTTTCCAAATCATGTCCATTCAATTGAATTTACCACAGGTGGACTCTCAAGGATTATAAATGGAAACAGGATGCACCTGAGCTCAATTTCGAGTCTCATAGCAAAGGGTCTGAATACTTATGTAAATAAGGTATTTCTGTTTTTTGTTTTTAATACATTTCCAACAATTTCAAAAAACCTTTGTCATTATGGGGTATTGTGTGTAGATTGCTGAGGAAATTGTTTAATTTATTCAATTTTAGAATAAGGCTGTAATGTAACAAAATGTGGATCAGGGGTCTGAAAATTTTCCGAAGGCACTGTATGTATCCGACTTAGATCTAGCAGAATGATTGTTTTCCTTGTTACTGTGGTTGTCATGCTAACCTCATTGTGAGTAAGGCCTGGGGGGAAAAGCACCCATAATCCCATTGGGGGAGGGTCTCCATGGACAGGGTTTAGTTGCTCTAAGCATCCAGGATGCAGGATGCCGGGATCAGCCACCGTCCGTCAGGCTCTTGGATCCCAGCAGGCCTATATGGTGGGAATGTTTTAATTGGGAATACGACTGGGCCTAAGTAAACTGAGCAAACAGGCTGATCCGGAACCCCCTCACAAATAGTCCAGGATTCACCTGCACCGTTGTCCCAGGGAACCAGCCGCCCCCATCAAACACGCAGAGAGAGAACCGATAGAACGTTCTACAATGTTCTAGAACACTATTTTCCCTTTCAGGTACTCCTGACTACTTTCAATTAGATACAATTAAGAGTTACAGTTGAAGTCGGAAGTTTACATACACTTAGGTTGGAGTCATTAAAACTCGTTGTTGAACCACTCCACAAATTTCTTGTTAACAAACTATAGTTTTGGCAAGTCGGTTAGGACATCTACTTTGTGCATGACACAAGTAATTTTTCCAACAATTGTTTACAGACAGATTATTTCACTTATAATTCACTGTATCACAATTCCAGTGGGTCAGAAGTTTACATACACTAAGTTGACTGTGCCTTTAAACAGCTTGGAAAATTCCAGAAAATGATGTCATGGCTTTAGCAGCTTCTGATAGGCTAATTGACATAATTTGAGTCAATTGGAGGTGTACCTGTGGATGTATTTCAAGGCCTACCTTCAAACTCAGTGCCTCTTTGCTTGACATCCTGGGAAAATCAAAAACAATCAGCCAAGACCTCAGATTTTTTTTTTTGCCCTCCACAAGTCTGGTTCATCCTTGGGAGCAATTTCCAAACGCCTGAAGGTACCACGTTCATCTGTACAAACAATAGTACGCAAGTATAAACTCCAGGGGACCACACAGCCGTCATATCGCTCAGGAAGGAGACGCGTTCTGTCTCCTAGAGATGAACGTACTTTGGTGCGAAAAGTGCAACTCAGTCCCAGAACAACAGCAAAGGACCTTGTGAAGATGCTGGAGGAATAAGTTACAAAAGTATCTAAATCCACAGTAAAACGAGTCCTATATCGACATAACCTGAAAGGCCGCTCAGCAAGGAAGAAGCCACTGCTCCAAAACCGCCATAAAAAAGCCAGATTACGGTTTGCAACTGCACATGGGGACAAAGATCGTACTTTTTGGAGAAATGTCCTCTGGTCTGATTAAACAAAAATAGAACTGTTTGGCCATAATGACAATCATTATGTTTGGAGGAAAACGGGGAAGGCTTGCAAGCCGAAGAACACCATCCCAACCGTGATGCACAGGGGTGGCAGCATCATGCTGTGGGGATGCTTTGCTGCAGGAGGGACTAGTGCACTTCACAAAATAGATGGCATCATGAGGAAGGAAAATTATGTGGATATATTGAAGCAACATCTCAAGACATCAGTCAGGAAGTTAAAGCTTGGTCGCAAATGGGTCTTCCAAATGGACAATGACCCCAAGCATACTTCCAAAGTTGTGGCAAAATGGCTTAAGGACAACAAAGTCAAAGTATTGGAGTGGCCATCACAAAGCCCTGACCTCAATCCTATAGAAAATGTGTGGGCAGAACTGAAAAAGCGTGTGCGAGCAAGGAGGCCTACAAACCTGACTCAGTTACACCAGCTCTGTCAGGAGGAATGGGCCAAAATTCACCCAACTTCTTGTGGGAAGCTTGTGGAAGGCTACCCGAAACGTTTGACCCAAGTTAAACAATTTAAAGGCAATGTTACCAAATACTAATTGAGTGTATGTAAACTTTTGACCCACTGGGAATGTAATGAAATAAATAAAAGCTGAAATAAATAATTCTCTCTACTATTATTTTGACATTTCACATTCTTAAAATAAAGTGGTGATCCTAACTGACCTAAGACAGGACCTTTTTACTAGGATTAAATGTCAGGAATTGTGAAAAACTGAGTTTAAATGTATTTGACTTAGGTGTACGTAAACTTCCGTCTTCAACTGTACATGGATTTAATCAAATGTAGGATAACAAGTGGGTTGCATCGCTTCTTTTCAATTGAGTGTTTTTGATCAGATTGATTGACCTGACTGTGTGTTATCAAACTGTACTAAAGCCCTTGAATTAGGAAATGACATTAAAAGTGGGAAAAAGGTTAGTCTTTAAGCATTGACGAAGAAGTAATTTGTGTAGCTGTATAATCCAAGAATAGCAAATAATCAACATCAAAGTGAAAGGCAGGCCTCAGGAATCTTGCCAACAATTGTTGTCTATGGCATTTTACAGTCAGAACCAGTGTTAAAAACGGATACCACTAGAGTCATGCAAGCACGAGGAAGAGCCGACAGGAGATGACAAAACAAATCAGGGAAGGACAGATTATTTTAGAAGATGGGGTAAAAAGTGAGGGGGCTTTAGGGTAACTGGCGTTCCTATGGTATCAAATCAAATCAAATCAAACTTTATTTGTCACATGAGCCGAATACAACAGGTGTAGACCTTAACGTGAAATGCTTACTTTCGAGCCCTTAACCAACAATGCAGTTCAAGAAAGAGTTAAGAAAATATTTACCAATAAACTAAAGTAAAAAATTCTAAAAAGTAACACAATAAAATAACAATAACGAGGCTATATAGAGGGGGTACATGTAGGTAGGGGTAAAGTGACTATACAGACATAATAGACAGCGGGTAGCAGCAGTGTAAAAACAAATGGGGGGGGGGGGGGGGTCAATGTAAATAGTCCGGGTGCCCATTTGATTAATTGTTCAGCGCTCTTATCGCTTGGGGGTAGAAGCTGTTAAGGACCGTTTTGGTCCTAGACTTGGCCCTCCGGTACCGCTTGCCGTGCGGTAGCAGAGAGAACAGTCTTTGACTTCTGTGACTGGAGTCTTTGACAATTTTTTGGGCTTTCCTCTGACACTGCCTAGTATATAGGTCATGGATGGCAGGAAGCTTGGCCCCAGTGATGTACTGGGCCGTACACACTACCCTCTGTAGTGCCTTACGGTCAGATGCCGAGCAGTTGCCATACCAGGCGGTGAAGCAACCAGTCAGGATGCTCTCGATGGTGCAGCTGTAGAACTTTTGAGGATCTGGGGACCCATGCCAAATCTTGTCAGTATCCTGAGGGTGAAAAGGTGTAGTTGTGCCCTCTTCACGACTGTCTTGGTGTGTTTGGACCATGTTAGTTTGTTGGTGATGTGGACACCAAGGAACTTGAAACTCTCGACCCGCTCCACTGCAGACCCGTTGATGTTAATGGGGGCCTGTTCGGCCCGCCTTTTCCTGTAGTCCACGATCAGCTCCTTTGTCTTGCTCACATTGAGGGAGAGGTTATTGTCCTGGCATCACACTGCCAGGTCTCTG